AGGGTATTAATTAATTAATTAATTAATTATTATAATTTACAGATTTTTAATTCTTGAAAAGTCATCTACTCTTTTTTTTTTTTTTTACTTAAAATGTGTAAACACAGTTTAAACATTGTGTTATTGAATATGCCAATTTCAATGTATATGTTGGATCTGTTTGCAGGACTACCTGCCCAGCCAACAGGACATCCTCCTGGCCAGAAAGCCCACTAAGGGCATCCACGAGTACGACTTTGAGATCAAGAATGTGCCCTTCAAGATGGTGGACGTGGGTGGTCAGCGCTCCGAGAGGCGGCGCTGGTTTGAGTGCTTCGACTCGGTCACTTCCATCCTCTTTCTTGTCTCCTCCTCCGAATACGACCAGGTGAGTCAGCTGGAACACAAACACAGGCCGTAGAACACCTGAATGTCGCAGGATTACGCTATTCTACTGAAATAGACTAACATTTCACCGTGGAATCCCTACACTTGAGGAAAAAAAAAAAAGACAAATGCAAAAAGAATTTGCATTTGTCTTACCTGCTGAACAGTTTAGTTCCAGGAACTCAGGCAGAGAACAGTAGAAACCAGCAAAGGCTTTTTTTTAACTTCTTGCAGTGGGAAAGGGCTATCGGACAACTTTGTCATTGTGCTCATACCAGACCCACACAGTCATAATCACCTTTGACCCCAGCACACATTTCTGCACTCTTTGACATCTCCAGGTGCTGATGGAGGACCGGCAGACCAACCGGCTGAGCGAGTCCCTTAACATCTTCGAGACAATCGTCAACAACCGGGTTTTCAGTAATGTCTCCATCATCCTGTTCCTGAACAAGACAGACCTGCTGGAGGAAAAGGTGAAGCAGGTGTCCATCAAAGACTATTTCCCAGAGTTCTCAGGCGACCCCACCAGCCTGGCAGACGTCCAGCGCTTCCTGGTGGAGTGCTTCCGCAAGAAGCGCCGCGAGCAGCAGCAGAAGCCACTGTACCACCACTTCACCACGGCCATCAACACTGAGAACATCCGGCTGGTGTTCCGCGACGTCAAGGACACCATCCTGCACGATAACCTCAAGCAGCTGATGCTGCAGTGAGGGGACTGACCGGGAGGAGGAGGAGGAGGGATGGGTGGAGGCAGACGCAAAGTGGGTGCCATGGTGCCTTTTTCCTTACCCCTCACCGCCACCCCCAGCCCGTAAGGGGAGCGGGCAGTGTCCCTCCACCCATGCATCCTCCTTCCTTGACTTGGACCCACTCCTCACCTTTGAACTTTGACTGTGTATTAAAGCCACTACTACTACCGCCATTCCCCCCACGCTTGCTCTCTGCCTTACTGAGCTTGTTCACTGTGACTTATAACAGCCGCCTTTGGCTTAGAGCCCCAAACCACTGTAAATGACCTCTAACCCCCACTCTCTGCCCCCCTCACACTCACCAGTCCACATTGTGCAGTGGACCATCTTTCATGTGTTGTTCTAACTAACATCCAAACACTGTTCTTTTCTTCTATGCTGCTCTGACCACTGTTGCTAGGGAGGAAGAGGGGGAGGGGCTTGTTTTAAATCACTGTTACTGTGTAGCCATTGAAGCTGCCGACAGACGACGCCGACCGACGACGACGACATCGGAGCCTGTCGCCAGGTGTCTGCTTCCTCTTCAGAACTTCTTTTGTTTTTTTTCTCTCTGGTTTTACATCTGTTCTCCTCTGGCACTTGACGACATCACTGGGCTGGGGATTTCCTCTTTGGGCAGTGGAACAGGAAAGAACAGGGCTAGTACAGACACACACACACAGATAGGAATTCCTGTTCTGTGGTCCACTTAATTCTGGTTTTCTAATCATTTTGTTTCTTTTTCTAATATATGAATATACTGTATGTACCTATGCATTTTTCTTTAACTTAAATTTTATAGGGGTTTACACTTTGTGGATTTGTGACAGCCGATGGACTCTGTTGCAGTTAATTAAAGGGGAGGGTGGGCAAAAACACAAAGACCACTTGTAAGCTCAGACACCGTGCTATAAGGCTAGCTAGTTCAGGGTGACACGTTGCATTTTGCTGTTTCTCAGGGCACACTGTGAGCCACTTCTTTGAACTCTCTGTCTCTGCCACTCCACGAGTCAAAATGAGTTTCCTTGGTGTCGTTTCTCTGTAAATGTTAGCAGAGAAGACTCCTTACGCTTTAAAAGCAGAACTCTGGCCATCCTCAACCAGGACTGTATTTTACCATCAGGGTCTGGGCAGACCTCATGACCCCATTTAACATATGGTCTGTATCTACTTGCGTAATGTGGATAATTACATCTACATTTGCACCTGGATTTCATACGCCTTGTCGTTATTTTAATTCTGTCCACATCATGATTTGATCTCAATATGCACACAAAGGTCAAAGCACTAGAACTCCGAACCACTGTTATGCCCTTTTGCACCAACACAAACCTAGTGCTAGTTCTGGGCTGGTACTGGTTCAACGTGCACACCTTCCAAGAACCGGTTTGCTTTTGAACAGGCTATAAGTCACCATAGAGCCATGTCAGTACATCACTGTATACTTCTTAAATGTTAGCTATTGTTACCAAGGTTACGCTAGCTAGTGAGCTGTTGATCAGCTAACATTACCCAAGCAAGCATTAGCTTGCATTTGTCACATCAATGTTATGAAGGTTGAACATAACTTTGAATTTATGAATAATATTACGAACAAAACATCGATGTGAAAAATTAGTAGCTATGCTTGCTTGGGTAATGTTATCTGACCAACAGCTAGCCCTAGCTCCACTAGCCAGCTAGCTCACTGTTATGTTATCGTTCATATAATTGAGTGGCTCGCTGAACAGGTAATGAATTCATAGCTGACTGACCATAAGGTGCCCCTTGTGTAAGTGGTTCTTGGTTTTAGACCAGCGTTGGAACCAGTTTCCCTGGCCCAGAGCCAGTTCTTCGGCTGTCAAAACACGAAGCACTGTTTCGAAATTAGGAACCGGCTCCGGACTGGCCCTCAAACTGCATTGGTGGGAAAGGGGTATGAGTCAGAGTGCAGTAGGCCAAGACCAAGCCTCTGGCCCAACACATAGTGCTTGGAACCTTGAAGGAATCCCACCTCCACAGACCACACTGTGGTGGGGCACCTAGCATAGCATCCCCATTGCTATGTCTTAATGTTTTCTTCTTTTCTTTTTTTAAGTATTTTTTGGGGCTTTTATTGCCTTTATGATAGTGACAGCTGAAGATAGGCACAAAAGATAGGCAGAAAAGGGGGGCAGAGAGAGAGAGGGGATGACACGCAGCAACAAGGGGTCGCAGGGTCGGATTCAACCCCCTGGCCGCTGCAGCAAGGACTCAAAGGGCCTTGTACAGGGTCGGCAGCTCTACAACTGAGCTAAAACCGGGGCCGTCTTAATGTTTCCTGTTTGCAATGAATGTTCCTATCCAGAACATAATACAGATATAGACACATTTATAACCAGGCTATGGCATTCTTTTTATCTTTCTTGTTTTCGCTATGTCTTATATCTTATAGATCGAAAACAAACCACAAGATCCTGCAAAAAAAACTCCTGTGGAATGGGACAGGAGACAGTCATTGAAAAAGAAGGGTATTCTGGTTTGGTTTTGGCTACACGCCACTGTTCAGTAGTAAGCAAACCCAGCAGTAAGCAGCATTGATCACAGTAAACGAAAGGGGGCCCATGGTCTTTGCTGCATTGCCAAGCTGGCACCTGAGTGAACAAGAACTCTTCCTGGCCAAATTCCGATCATCCCAAAAATATTTAAGGATGCATGGAGATCCAGGAGTTCCAAAAAAACAAAGACGTGTCAAGCCTGAGGTCTAAACAGCTCATTTTCCAAAGCTTTGGAAAAAAAGTCAAATGAAAACGTTTGGTTAAACAATGATAGCATGATGTGGTCCAGTTGAAAATGCCAATTTATACTGAGGCCCTGGGAATTCACATCCAAGCCTGTAGATTGTATCTTTCCCCCAGGACCAGGAAGGTAGAAAGTAAAACTGTAGGATTACCACCTTACAGTGTTCGGTTATACCAACAAGTTATGAGGGTGGCTCTTGCCTTCTTTGGTTGTCTCGGATGTTCTTTATTTTTCTAAAAAAAGTACCTGTTAAATTCTGTCCGTCTGCCCTGCCATGCACCTAAGTTGGGAAAACAAAAGGATAAAGCCAGGCGTAAGGTCCACGATGAACCTGAGCAGCTGGTGTCTGCCGCCATTTTTGTTGTTCAGCTCAGTACAGTCCTCTGAACTCTTTCCCTAATGTCTTAATGGTATCAGTTGATGTATCTCTCACACATGTACGGTATGACCGTGGAGGTTATTTCTGTTCTTTTCTTCCTTTTTTTGGATCGGTGTTTATTAAAACAGAAGCAGGCGCTGGTCTGCTGGGCCTGTCTCAATGTGTTTCTGGAAAGGACAGTCCCATTTTACCAGGCTTCTTCCGGATGTGTGAGACCGCCGATACACAAAGTCCTCTGTGCCGCCCCGCAGATTACCCCACGTTCCTGCTAAACTTCAACATAAGTATTATAACCACAAGTTTAAAAAGTAAACTTGCAATTTGGTTTATTGAGCTGTATATTCTGCCCGTTATTAAACCAGATTCACAGGAAGAGGTTTTATAAATCATTGGTTTGCATGGGAGCACAAAGACCCTTTGTACATACAGCTACCATCAGCATAAGCCATATGATTAGTCTATATATTACAGACAGAAGCTGTTTATTAACTCTTGTTACATGATGTATATAGATATAGGTCCGATGAACTCGGTGATGTCCTATGCTTGTTCCACTGCCCACGTAAAACTAGTGTACAGTTAGCCTTCGGTCAGAACAACTTTCCTCCTTCCTGTACTGAATTAGAAAGACAACCATATTTTGCATAAACTGGCCTACAAAGATGGCATCAGTGGAAAACATGAACTATCTGGGTTAGCACCAGAAACTTGAGAAAAGGTTTTTGCTCATGTAATGACCTGACTTACTGTCAGTCTCAGGCTCTTGATCAGTGTAAACTGGATCCTTAATTACTTAATATAAATTAAATTCATGTTTGTGTCTAGTTACCCAGTTTTAGCTTCCTCATAAACTATAGGTCATTTTAAAACTCATAGGCTCTTTAAATGGATCACTAATTTAAAAGTAATTCAATGGTGAAATGATTTCACTGTATTTCGATGTCAGGACACTCAGAACATGATAGCTTTGAGAGTAAACCAGGAGACGGTAATAACTAGATAATTTCAATCCAGTCGACTATTGGTTCCACTATTGCTATCCACCACTAAACAGGTCTATCATTCACGTATTGCTATAGCAAACATAAAATCTAGAATAAACATGTCTATTCTCTAATTAAAATTAAAGTAAAGACCACATTAGTCCAGGATAACAGAGAAACGATAAACAATATTTCTAGTAAACAGAGTTGAGACATTCAAATGTAGTTTTCAATCTAATTGAGCTCTCAGACTGTACGCACCTAACCTATGGCCTTCTTGCTCTGATTTGGTTTTCGTTCAGGCATTCCTATCTAGGAGGGATGACTTTATAAACTGTCTATATATACAATCGTTCTCTAGTATACTTTTCAAACGAGAGGTTTTATTATTGATAGAAAAGTTCAGTCAATTATAAAAAATTATCCGAACGAGTTAATTCAGATACAACATTTTTATTATATATATAAAGTTTGAACATGCTGTATTCTACCGAAGCTGAACAAGCTACAGCGTTCTTACACTGTTCGAATGAAAATAAGATTTAAAACCTCTGATCACAATCTGGTTAGCGCTTGCAAACTCGAAATATACAAATCAGAATTGTAAAATCTCAAATCTTCTTGTGAGGATATCTTGCGCTTAGGTTTAAATACAGCAACGACTGGCCTATGGGATAGGTTGTGTTAATAATGACTATATCTAGTGCAGGTCGTAGGAGGAGCTGATAGTGTGAGTCTGCACTATATCAACCATAATGATTATGGTGTTGCTTCTATGAAGCACCAAAAAATTATATATTGATGCGCCAAAGAGGATGACTTGAACTGACATTACATTTACAGTTTAGCTGTATACAAGAATGTTATAATAAAACATCAGTTTAAAATCATTCAGATAAACATGTTTAGGAACATGATGGGTGGTGCTGATGAATCTGCGGACACTTGACTTGCAGAGATTCCTGACACATTTTATTAGTTTAGTTTCCCAGTAGCTGCATCAGCGCAAGCACTTCCTGTACCCAAGACCTAACAAGGGAAGCCTGCTTGCTTCGGTGGTGTTAGCATGAGCGCATTAAAGTCACCATGGCCCATTTGTGCTTGCGTGTTCCCCGGCTCAAAAAAGGAAGCTGAACCCAGCGGCAGTCTACCCAAAAGCTTGATGAAATTCCTCAAAAACAGTGCAGCGCTGTCAGCATGGTTCTGCCTCCATCAGTCTGTTTGCACTGGGATAAAAGCAATCCTCTGTCCGTCTGTCGTGGTGAAGAGACACAAACCCACAGTGTTCAGTGCTCAGACAGGCCCTTAAGTTAAAAGCCAGCAGAGGCCTCTTTGTTCTGGATTCAGGGACCGTTGTCATGTAAATCGCTTCTGGCAGAAGAAAGCCTTTTTGTTACACCACACACATACACACCATGAAAGTCATAGCAGAACAGGCCCGTACCGGAGACAGCCCTTTCCATGCTGAAAACAAACTTGGATTATTGGAGCACCAGGC